AAAAAAAAAAAAAAAAAAAAAAAAAAAACCCAACCAAGCAAACAAAAAAATAAATGAACAGATTGATTAGATCTAGGATTTTTCTTAAACAAACAGACACTAAGGTCTCTGTATCACCTAGATTCTAGTAATAAATTCCTAAATATTTCTTCCCTGAAATCTTTTCTTGTTTAGCAGAGGCAGGTAGGTGGGCCCAGGAGGGGCACATGGCCTTTTCCTCTATGCCCATCACCGCAAAATGCACCTATTTCTTAGTCTCCTTTGCACATTACTGGACAACAAACTACCCCAGCCCTGACATTTAACAAGCAAAACCATACAGTGCCGGGCTCCTCACTTCTAATAGCTTGGGGCAGGAGCCTGGGTGTCTGCAGGCTGCCAGGCACTATGTTTATCTGCAAACTTCTCCTATTGTGACACTCTTCCAAGGCCACACATGGCCTCTGGGTAATCGAGGCAGGGTAGGTCCCCGGGCTGGTGTGTGAGGGCTGGATTTCTGCCCCCAGCCCAGGTAGCCAAAGACCCTGGACATCTGTGGGGGCCTTAGACACCCGCCAGGGCCACTGCTGCATCCTCATGAGCCCCTTAAAAGGGAACAAAACCAAAGCCAGCCCAGGGGTGAATGTGGAGGGCCACTCAGTAAGTCCTGCTGCATATCTACCCTGATCCTTGACCCTAAAAGCAACAAAGTGTAAATTGTTATTTCTTCAAACTGCCATTCCAGTCTGTTGACATCTAGTCGCTGAACGCAGGGAGAACATGCTTTGTAGCATAGCACTTCCTGTGAAGGATCGTTAATTTTAATTTCTCCACTGAGTGAAACCTCAAAGTAAGGTTGATTGCTACTCAGCAACACGGTCTGCATTAGTGGAGGCTTTAACTGAGTGCCTATGTGTGTCCCCAAAGTGCGATGTTTGTTGTACATATACTTTGGGACAAGAAGAAAAATGAAAACCAGACCTTTCTGAGGAAAAGTGGAGAGCACACTGTGTTCTGTAATCACAGTGGCTGCAGAGCTGGGGATTTGGCTCAGTGGTGCCCGCAAGTTTGATCACGGGGGGAAAAAAAAAAAAAAAAAAAAAAAA